CTGCGTCCGGCCATCGGGAGGAGGGAAGGCCACAGATTGGGGGGGGGGGGTCACACCGGGGGCAGGGCGAGGGGGAGAAGAAGAGAGAGTGGGAAAAAATTTACTCGGCCGCCGCTAGCCAAAGTAAATATAAGGAGAAGAACTTGAATGGAGTGAAAAATTGGGTTAATTTGATAAATGTCACTCTAAATTTGACGATTCCGAGAAATGCCACTGCAATTTTCAAATTTTGAAAAATGCCACTTCATGCCATTTTCAGTGGCATTTTACGAAGTCTGCTGTGGCGTTTCTCAAAGTTTGCAAACATTGCAGTGGCATTTTTCAAAATTTGGAAATTGCAGTGGCATTTTTATGAATCGTCATAATTGTAGTGACATTTATTTAATTAACCCTAAAAAATTTACTCAACTAACCGTTATAAGGAATCGGCCAGGTGCGATTTAGAGAAGAAAAATAATAATCAAATTTACTCCCTTACGGCCGGATAAGGGATCGGTTAGAAGTGCCCTAAGGATGCTTAAGCCATCCATAAAATAAACTGCTATTATTAAATAATCGACCTAGCGTGTTGAAGAGATGGCATTTGCTAAGAAAATGTAGATCTGGTTATTGACGGAGAAAATGCGGAGACTTAACTAAAAAAGTACAAGATGTGACAAATTTCCCGATCAATTTACTTTAAATTAACTAAGCAGAGCACCGCTCGATTAAGATATCTCGGTGCCCTAAAAAGAACGTTATCTCGACGCCTTCGTATGATCGCATCCGTCCTAATACTTGAAAATTTTGTTTATCTTATTATTAATATGGAACTCGCAGTGGACCTGTTACGTCATTTATGTGGGATCCAGGGCAGTTCGTCATTCAAAGTTAAAAGCAACGATCTTGTTACGTCAAAACCAGTGGCCGTCGCCTGGTTTGGGTGCCCGTTGTACTTATATTACTAAAAGTCAGTTGCTAATCCTGTAGTCGGTGACCAAGACAGTAAGCGTCGGTAGAATGGCCAATTTTCAACAAGTCAGTAGTAGCATTATTAAAAGGGGGCCAAACAGAAGTCCAACTGACATTCAAGTGAGACTGAGCCATGCCCATGCCGTCGTCGCGCAATTTTGGAGGGTACCACATTGACATATATTGATATATATGATGGTGTAATAACGAGCTCGAGGAGTTGTTGACGACACGATTTTCCCGTGTCACAGGAGCATAGCTTGCCCGCGTGCATGAATAACCGGTTTCAGTCCGAGCTAGCTAGGTGTCAGCCGTTTAACAGCCAAGGATCGCACTACACACGCATTAATAAAATACTCTCACACCACACCACCTTTTCCCGAACCAGATGCGAATGCAGTTCAGATAAGCCACAGCCGTTATTGGAGCATCCACCCCGCCGTGCGGCGTATGCTGATTGGGCGAAACTAAATCGCAAAGTTGCTTACTACTACACCGAGAACGTATAGATAGCCTGAGGAAGCCAAATGCAGACCAGCAGGCGTACGCGAGCGCACCTCTGCCGTCATTTTCTTGAAAAATGTACTGTCTCATTCTTTTCCTGTTTCCCTCCAGTTGCTCCTGTCTCGCGCTTCGGGCGATCGGCTGGCTTGTCCACATCGTCTCGAGATCCAGGGCGGACTAATTCAACAGCGCATGTCGGCTTTTCTTTTGGCCAAAAAAAAAAGTACTGTACTGTAGTATTTCATTTCCTTACTTGTGTCAGTAAGCAGACACCGGCACACGTCGCAAGCGTACGTGGATCCCATGTGCTGATACAAGCATCTAGCCACAGTTCAGAAGGTAAAATCAGTGGACTACGGCACAGGCAGCCCTCCAAAAAGAAGATGCTCTATTCAGTACCAATATTAGAGAGAACCTACACTGTTGGTCTGCAGCAGGAGGAAACCGCGGATGGCTTTGCGACGATGGCCTCCAACCGGCAGCAACACACGCACAAGAGTATTGCTTGTGCTCTGCTAACTGGGCTGGGCTGTTCTGACGTTAACCCGCCCCGCCCCCACTAAAAACTCCGTATGTCTCAAAAAAAAGAGCTAAAAACTCCGTGTTAAGAACGGTGACGCCACCTGCACACCCCCGCCCCCCTCCGCTATATATATAGCTCGGCTCCCAAGTTAGACATCAGCCACTGCCTCCTCACTCCTCTTCTTCTCTTCTCTAGCTCAGTCTTGACCAGAACACTCGATCGCAGCTCAGCTCCGTCGCCTCCGGTTTCAAACCCAGCCAAACACGCGCGCAGCATTCCTTGACCGGCTGACGAGATGGTGAACAAGGTCGCCGACGAGCCGCAGCTGCTGTCCAAGAAGGCCGGATGCAACACCCACGGCCAGGACTCGTCCTACTTCCTGGGATGGGAGGAGTATGAGAAGAACCCCTACCACCCCACCACCAACCCCGGCGGCATCATCCAGATGGGCCTCGCCGAGAACCAGGTACGTACATACAGACAAATTCTAAGTGGCTGGAGAAGCTAGCTCGCCATTGTCTCTGCCTGTCTCTGACAAATTCAGCTCGTGCGCGCCGTGCAGCTGTCGTTCGACCTGGTGGAGGAGTGGCTGGAGAAGAACCCCGACGCGCTCGGCCTCCGCCGGGGAGCCGCGTCCGTCTTCCGCGAGCTCGCGCTCTTCCAGGACTACCACGGCCTCCCGGCCTTCAAAAATGTAATTCCCCGGCCACTTGGCACACTCCCCGGCAGCCATTCTAATCAAGCTTTGAATGAATCAATGCGGTCAAAGACTGACGCACGTGACTTTGCTCAGGCATTGGCGAGGTTCATGTCGGAGCAGAGAGACTTCAGGGTGGCGTTCGACCCCAGCAACATCGTGCTCACCGCCGGCGCCACCTCGGCCAACGAGGCGCTCATGTTCTGCCTCGCCGACCAGGGCGACGCATTCCTCATCCCCACGCCGTACTACCCAGGGTATGCGCCGTGCCGTCTCTCGATCGACATTTTTCTCCACGTTGCGCGCCCGGCGGCGCCTGCCCATGTGCGACGTGCATGTTCCATCATAGCCTTTTAACAGTGACAACAAGTACACATGGCTAATAACCTTGCTTACGCATGCAGGTTCGACCGTGACCTCAAGTGGCGCACCGGAGCCGAGATCGTACCGGTGCACTGCACGAGCGCCAACGGCTTCCGGGTGACGCGCTCCGCCCTGGACGACGCATACCGCCGCGCCCAGAAGCGCCGCCTGCGCGTCAAGGGCGTGCTCATCACCAACCCCTCCAACCCGCTCGGCACCGCCGTCCCGCGCGCCGACCTCGAGATGATCGTCGACTTCGTCGCCGCTAAGGGCATCCACCTCGTCAGCGACGAGATATACTCCGGCACGGCATTCTCCGAGCCGGGCTTCGTCAGCGTCCTCGAGGTCCTGGCCGCGCGCGCCCCGCTCGCCGCCGACTACACGCTGGACGACCGCGTCCACGTCGTGTACAGCCTCTCCAAAGACCTCGGCCTCCCTGGCTTCCGCGTGGGCGCCATCTACTCCTCCAACCCCGCCGTGGTCTCGGCGGCGACCAAGATGTCAAGCTTCGGGCTCGTCTCCTCCCAGACGCAGTACCTCCTCGCCGCGCTCCTCGGGGACAAGGACTTCACCCGCAGGTACCTCGCCGAGAACAAGAGGCGGATCAAGGAGCGGCACGACCAGCTGGTGGACGGGCTCAAGGAGATCGGCATTGCGTGCCTGGAGAGCAACGCGGGGCTCTTCTGCTGGGTGAACATGAGCCACCTGATGCACGCCCGGTCGTTCGAGGGGGAGATGACGCTGTGGAAGAAGGTGGTGTTCGACGTCGGGCTCAACATCTCGCCGGGGTCGTCGTGCCACTGCAGCGAGCCCGGGTGGTTCCGCGTCTGCTTCGCCAACATGTCCGCCAAGACGCTCGACGTCGCCATGCAGCGCCTGAGGGAGTTCGTCCAGACCTGCAGCTTCAAGGCCGCACCCGCCGCACTGCGCCGCGCCGCCGGCCCCGCCAGGAGCATGAGCTGCCCGCTCGCCATGAACATGAAGTGGGCGCTCCGGCTCACCCCGGGCTTCGCCGACAGGAAGGCCGAGCGGTAGACGGACCACCACCGCATAGCTAGCGAAGCATTACCGCCGCATTACCACGGATCACGTGCGCCTTGGAGCCAGCTTATGGCCATGGCCATGATCAGTACATAGCGCTACTACGCTAGTAGCTAGTAGCCGATCAATTCCTTTAGTTTCTTCCCCTACTTCTGCTGCATACCGCCATTTTTTCCTCGGAGCACCTTCCACGGCTGCCCGAGGAGCACTGTTGTATCTACATTTCGCGCTAGTATAGGAGCTAGCCATCGATCGATGCACCGGTATCGGATCGTGTATTTTTGGCTGGAGTGTTCTGCGGAGTACCCCGGTTGTTCGCTGTACTATTATTGTTGCCGGTTACTACATGGTCAATAAAATACTACACTACTAAGTACTACTTTACATCTCGCTCCCTCGTTACATCGGTCGCTGTCACGTGAAGTCAAACCGCTTGGAGAGCGGCGTTTCCAATGCTCAATTGTCAGCTGCAAAGTAGCCCTCCATGTTGCTAAACCAGTCCACGCTCGATCTCGGGCTAATAATGATGATATGTTGTCTTTAATTACGGCCGGCGCGCGGCGTCGTCGCCCACATGCCACCACGAGCTAGCGGTAGCGGCTGTGACCACCTTTGCTTAAACAAACGGAGCGTTGGTGGACATTCGGACGCGCGCGCCACGCAGCAGCTTGCGGTTGAAAGGTCCGTGTGGTCCGCCCCGCGCAAACCGAACAAAAATGAAGCTGCTGGGCCACAGATAGCGTATGGGTTTTGCCCGGAGCACGTTGCTTCTCCTCCTCCTCCTCCTTCTTCTTCTTCTTCTCCTACTTTTAGCTTTTCTTTTCGAGAACTCGTTCTTCTTCTTGGGGGACAAGAAAGAAATTAGTAGTCGTGAAATTCACTAAAAAAACTAGAAGGAAATCAGGGCTAGGGGCCAGATGGAGTGGTACATTGACGATGACGAAAAATGACGATAGTGGGAGGAGGTGGCATGCCGGTGGAAATGTCTTCCTACCAAACAGGGTTATGGGGAATTTGATTGGGAGCCCCCTAAAATTAGGCGATGCCTGATAGGGCATCCTGATCGCCCGCCTAACGAATGACGGCGGCGTTCTGGTGTCGTTTCCCTCTTGGGGACGTCATTTTTGAAGGTGTACACGGGCACGAGGGACCAGGGAAAGGCTTTTTTGGTGGAGCGGTGATTCATCTTAAACATTGATAGCGACTGATATCGGCGGCATGACGCAGTGGAGACTCGGCGTCCGATGTGTGGAGATGGACTCGCGCAGGAGGAGGAGGCTGTCTGGCGTCATGGTGGCGTCGATGACAAAAAGGCTTGACAAGGTCAGTGCGTTAGTATCTGCTCTGAAGAATGATCGGTGGAGGACGGCGACGACGACACATGAGAGTGCGTCGGACCGGTTTGCGCCCCAAACCCGGTATGTGACTTGGTTGGGGCATCCGGCTTTAGATGTTAGGCTTTGGTGCGATATCTGTTTGATATTAGCCTCGGACTATCAGCACCCCTTCATCAAGTGGATAAAAATAGCGACAGATGTTGCTAAGATGATGGCTTCAGACTACCTGATGCACCACTTTATAAGGTCTTTGTGAATAATTAATAAAATGACTGCATACATCGTCCAGATGCAGAGGCTAGGGGTAATCCTCCTTTTCAAAAGAAAAAATCGCCTGCCTAACAAGCCGTCAGATTGTGCTTAGCCCTGATCATATGTTTGCAGCTTCCTCCGCAATATTCCTTGTATGCATCAAATCCCCTGCCCTTCCCCATCTCTCCACGCGACTTAGACATGGGTGTATTGTCGCTTATCTTCATACGTCGGAAGCTCGTCCCCCCTTTCTCGCATGACCCTAGTGTCCAGACAAGGCGCTGACCAGGACCGCATGCCGAATCCAGTAATAGTCAACTAGCGGCATCGACATTGTCAGGTGGCGCCGACCTACATGGGCGGCGGAGAAAACCGAGAAGTGGAGAAACTTCTAGAAGGAGATAAAGGTCATACTGTGCATGGTGGAACCAGACGTGGAACATGTGCTAAAAAAGTCCACACATCCGGAGCCTATGATTGTTTTTTAGCTCGCGGCGGTTCTCTAATAAGACTTAAAAATATTATGTGAAATTTGATAGAGTGCTCTTTGAAATAAAGTGCTCTGGTGTGTTTTTTAGCAAAAGGGGTTTCCCACCGATTATCATTACAGAAAAACATGAAGGAGTTTTAACAAGCTACTCCCTCCGTTTCATAATTATGGTGGTGGTTCTTTTTTTGCGGCAAATAATTCTTGTGGTGGTTTTAATTAGTTTAAACTGAAAGCACGACAAGGATTATGGAAGGGAGGTTGCAATCCTAGAACAATTTTAATTCATTTTTGAGGATCTAGTAGAGAATCTCCTAGGGTTACCAGAGAATCTCCTGAACCAAGGAATTGCCCCAGCGAGAAAAAAGAGAGTTGAGCCATGAATTTGTGAGTCTGCTGTGACTCGGGGGCGCATAGGGCACATGGGCCCGCCTCATCCCGTCTGGCGCGGGCAATTCGGGCACGCTCGCAGCACCCAGCAACACAACAGTGGGATCGGCCGGCCCCCGGTCTCGGCACTGGATTGAGAGAAGATGTCGGAAAAATCACTCGACCCACCACCATGACACATCTGCATCTTCTTCCTTCTTCTGCTTCACATCGTGCCGCTCTGTTGGACTGCCCGGTCGATCCAGCCGCCTCCCTTATCTTCGGGAACTCCCGATCCACACCAATTATTCCCCCAACTATGTCCACCCACTGCTCTGCGTACATGACCACATCACGTCCTCCTTATCTGGAGTTCAGTCGCTATTTCCGTGCCATGATGCCAGATGACTGCGGCACGTTCTGGGCGCAGAACCAATGGTAGAACGCTCGTCTATACCAACAATGGGTCGATGGGGGCGAAAGAATGACCTTTCAGACGAGGGACGTGCGTACGTAGTACATGTTGATAAGGCGACGCGTACCCTCATATAATGTGGGGCTGTACGGTACAGACAGATATTAGTACTACCAGCTCTGTTCAGCAGCACTCAGCCATTGTGCTGTGCTTTGATGTGATGCGCTGCGTTGGAAATTAGCACAAACGAAAAAGGTTAATAGGTAGTTAAGCAAGATTATTGATTAATTAATTAATTAATTAATTCTGCGTCTGTTCATGTCGGCGTTGATTGAGTCATGCCGCTACCGACTGGGACTACGCTCGATCCCTGTCCGCGCCTTTTCTGCACATAGTTTTCTCGACCGACTTTCTGGGTATGGGTTGCTGCAATCCGCTTGGCTTTCCGAGCCCGGCACGCATATTTCGAAGCTTCCCGCCCCGTTGTTCCATTTGCATCCATCACACTCCACCTGCCTACTCGAAAAAACACGCGGTTTTCCTCCTAATTCTATGCAAGCAAAATGGTTGGCCGTGCATTGTTTTCGGCCATCTGGGGACTGGTTTATGCGGCCGTGGTTGGGTCGGGCTTGCCCATCATCGAGCTGCGAGTGGAGAGCTCCAGACATGGCAATGCCTTTTCCCGTCCACTTGTCGATGCACCGGGCCGGCGTAGCCATCAGAGCAAGTACAATGAGCTTACGTAGACAAGCTGTAAGAGTTAAAATGTTATATTGCTGCTGACATGGAGGAGAGAAAAAGAGCTGGCCACAGAACAAGAGACAACTACATCACGTGCTATTGTATGTGTTGTCTATAAACTTGGCTATAGATGACATGACAACACCATATAGTCATCACCTGCCTATACTATTAACCATGCCCTCAATCGAAATCGACCGGATCAACTCGCGGCGAATCTAATTAGCGCGTCCGTCGAAGCATACGCGCGCCATACGTCGTCCACTGTGTTTACTTTGCGAGCAATTTTTTCTTTTTGCGGGGCCTACGACGGTGATCTTAGCTCACCGCCAGTTCATGTTGATGCGCACATGACAGCGCCCAGCGACGCATGCTCGGTGCAAGGTGGCTTGTGACAGTTCGCATGTGGTAAATATATGGTTGATCTTTGAATTAGGATTTAGGAGTACCTACGCATGGTATACCATGTGGTAAAACGATGGTTTTACTGTGCCGAGTCCTGTTTTACTGTCCGGATCGAGATGTGTATGCTCACTGTTCAGTATATGTATTTTCCGTTCCAATTATTGGAGCCAAGGCATGCAGGCACACTCGTGCCGTGGGGCCTTGGACCCATGGACCCCGACGACTTTTGTGGTGGCAACTCTGCGGGGCATAAAACTACGCATTGACCTGTTATTATACGGCGCGACGTCACTGTGTATGATAACATGCATGTGTCAGTAGTGAAAACGCATGCAAATTTATGTCGCCGGCCTCGCAAAAATATAGGAGCATCTCAGTGACTGGTCATAAAGGCGACCCCAACCGTCGACCCAGATGAACGAGGGTTTGTTCATTTTTCGTCCGTTTGAATCGGTCGCCCATGGTTAGCCTGAACCCATTTTTTTAGCGCGAGGACCTCCGCCAGCCTGGCTTGTTAGGCCGCCTCCTCCTCCGCCGCCTTGCACCGCTCCTCCTCGATGGAGGTCTACATGTCGGACTCACGGTCTCGCTCTCGCCCGGCCTTGCACCGTCGTCGTTCTGTACTTCTGCTACTAAGGCAGCTGTGTGCTCTTCTGTATGGAGGGAGCGTTCCGTATTTCCATTAACCGTTATGACGCCGCGTGGACCAGACATCTTGAGCTTGAGATAAATATAGTGTGGTACTGCGTTGAATCGAGCGAACTCAGTTCGTCTGAGCAGTGCGTATAGCCGCTGCGAAAGGGGACGATATCGAAGATTAACTCCTCGCTTCGGAAGTTGTCCGGAGATCCGAAGACAACCTCGAGTGTGATTGAGCCCGTACAGCGGGCCTCTACACCTGGTATGACTCCTTTGAAGGTAGTCCTGGTGGGCTTGATTCGGGATGGGTTAATGCCCATTTTTCACGCTGTATCCTGATAGTGCAGGT